AGACTATTAGATTAAATTAAGGTAATAATAAAATTAGGAGAAGGGGTTAAAATTAAATTAATAATTACATCATAATAATAGTATTACTTGATTTAAATGTACAGGAAAACAAAAAACCAAAATTAAATAAGTTGTACGTAATTAATTAAAATCGTTTACGGTTAAATTTCGAAAGATTTTTCCAATTAAACTTTTCTGTTTAATTGATATAAAAAATGAAAAAGCAATATCCGTTTAATAATGTTTTCCTTCGTTTTCTTTTATATTTCTTTGCTTTTTTTTAAAAAAAAAAATTATTACTGCAAAGTAAATTATTAATTTGGTTTAGAATTTTTATTCCAATTTTATCATTAACTTAATTTTAATCTGCTATTCTAGGGTTATTATTAATTTAATTTAATACAATCTTTTGCTCCAATTTAACTAATTGATGTAGCATAAAGGATAATATTGAGACAAAAAATCATTGCTATATTTATATCATTCCATCTGTAATCTAATTAATTTATATTGATAATTGTAATATGATGCATAATTGATTACTTCCATACTAAAATATTCCATGTGAGGTAATTTTTCCTTTTAATCAAATATCATATTTTTAGCAAAAGAAAAAAAATTAATTAAAGAGAAAAAACTTTGGAACTAGAATAACGAATGAAATTCAAAAATGAAAATAATTTTTTCCTTTATTCATCCCATTTATTATGTATTATTATTATTAATTATTACGACAATCATTATTATTATTACTATTATTTTTACTGCCACTATTATTACTATTATTATTACTACTACTATTATTACTATTATTATTATTGTTATTATTATTATCATGATTATTATTATCATTATAGTTATTATGCGGACAAGCTGCAAGAATAGCTGAAAATGTTGATGGCTGAAGGGTTACAGTTGGATCGATGAATGCTAGAATTTGCTGATAGGCCAATGCTTGCTGGGCACATTTCAAGCAACCACTAAATAATGCGCCTTGATGCTTAGGATAGCCTAGAAATGATTGAAAATATAGAAATGTTACGATAGTTTTAAAATTTCAAATTATATGCATAAAAATTAAATTTTTTAAATATATAAAATTTAAATTTTTAAATTTGTTTTTTGTTTTTGAAATTTTCACAAAAATAAGACATATATGAAAATTTGAAATATTTTGAATTTTCTTGAAAAAAAAATGCTGGAATAATTTTTCGTTTTTTTGTACCAAATTAACTTATATCGATAAGTAATATAGTAACATAAGTAATAGTATAAGTAATATAGTAATATAACTAATAATAAGTAATATATGCAAATTCTTAGAACATTGATGTATTTTTTGTGTATTTTAGAATATATCTAATTTTCATTTATTTTCTTTTTAAAAAAGAAAAGTTTAAAAAAAATTGCTTATATTACTTCGTAAATTATCAGTGTCATTTAATGCATCCAAATTTTTTTGTTTCTTTTGTCGCCTTCGTAATTTTATCTAAAAAAAAAAGAAAATTATTTAATTTCAACAATTTCAGAGATATATAAAAAAAAGAATGTGATAAAATTTTAGAGAGAAAAAAAAAAAGAATTAGATGAAACCTGATCAGCCATAAGTTTTTGTCGTTCTTGAACAACTTGACATTTAGCACATGGACAGTCTCGAAATGGACAACAACGCTTATGTCCTTTTAATCGAGCTAACACTGAATGTTGCGCACAACGTTGACAATTTGGTCGCCTTTCTAAAAAAATATATATATATATAAAAATTACTTAATAAACTTTTAATGAGTAACATCAATATATTAGCCAGTAAAATTAATTAAATGATGAAGAAAGAGACAAAAAAAAAGATAGAACTCCCAAATTTATAATTTCAAAAATTTTACTTTCACTGGATTCAGTTTAAACTTGAACATAATTACCTACAACATCATCTGCCAACCTTTTCCCTTCATAGCGGGTGGTGATATAGCTTGTTCTGGTACTGGTGAAAATATGTTCATATCCGGTAGAACAGGAACGGTTGTCGTCAAAATATTACCATTTTTTGATGATGGTTGTGATAATGATGATGATGATGATGATGACAATGATGATAATGATGATGATAAGGAAGACGTTGACAATGACGATGAAGATGATGGTGGTAATGGTGGTAGTAGGGATAATTGTGGTTGAGATGGTGGTAATGGTGGTGGTGGTATTGGTGGTGGTGGAGGTGGAGGTGAAACACTTTCAATTTGTAACAATCGTGAATTTAACTCTCGTCGTTTATCAACCATCTGAATTAGAATATAACTTTAAAAAAAAAAAAGTACAACTCATAGCATTTAATAAACTAATTTAACATTTTGAAAGTAGATTAATTAATAAAATGTTGTTACAGCTAATTGTACATCATAAGCAATCATAATATTCTACTATTGCTATAATTCCATGCTACCGTAATATTGTTACGATTTCATAATAGTCTCATACAAGCATAGAACAACATACTACCGTAGTACCACTGCAAATCCATTCTACCATAACCACTAATAACATATTGTTATATATTAACATGTTGACATCATAATATTTTCACTATCACACTTATAACATGATAAGAAATTTCACTCAAAAAGAAATGAAAAGATGAGAATTACTAGATAATAAAAACTAACTACTGTAATTCGGTTACGGTAATTAAAGACAGCAGATATGCGGTATCTCTGTCCATCTTTTTTTTTTTTCTTTTTTTAAATTTAAGGTTTTATTTTTTTTTCATCTATATCAGTTTTCGTTTACCTGACAATCATTGCATATGCAAAATCGATAAGCGCATTCTGATTTGTGATTTTTGCGCTTTACTTCTAAACCATGATTTAAGCAACGTTGACAATAGTATACACGTTTTTCTCCAAATAATTCAGGTAAAATTTCTTCAATATTCATCTAAAAGTAAATTGAACATATTAAAATTCTTTTTTTCAATTAAACAATTGTTTCAATTTTTAATTCATTTTTTTCAATTTCCTAGCAAAATTTGCATATGTTTAAATTTTCATTCGCAAAATTAGCATTATCCTAATTATAGATATTATTAAATTCAAATATAATTTAATTAAAATTTGATTAAAATTTCGATGACAGGATATTGGATGAAATTGAAATATGCAAGCAAATTAGACAAAATTTAAAAAGTTGATTTTAAATATAAGAAGGGATTTTAATTTCGAATAACAACAGTATGAATCATCAATGCTTAATTTATGCATAAGAGTGAATAAATTGCATCATAATTAAAATTCAAATTACATTTTAGCAAGAGTAGGTGGAAGAAAAATTAAGGGAAATTATGATTGCATTGGTGAAAGTTAAAATTCAACAATTAGCAAATAGCAATAAGTTGATGATTTAATAAATTTAATTTAATTCAATTATAGCTCTGTTTCAAGTTTAAATTACCTCCTGCATTAATTTTTTTTTTTTATTTTCACTATGATACGAAAATTTTTACGAAATACTTTGGCATATTGAAAAATTATTTATAATTTGAATTAGAAAATCGAAATTAAACAAAGTAGCAAAATTTTTATCAAAGAAAATGGGAAAAAAAATAAATAAATAAATAAGCCGATTTAAAAATTTTTAAAAATGTTTTTTTTTTTCACAATTCGATATGAAATAATAATTCGTTTATCACTTATTTTAACCTAATCATTATTACTAATCATTTACAGCATTTCATATTTATCAATATAATAATCATGATTATGATATCATGATATATATATAATCATGATTATCTCAACATTACATCTAATTGTAAAGATGTGTGCGCATGTGTGCTTGCGTGAGTATTACTGTGTTTTCCGAATATTGTCTAATAATTTGTAAAGGTACACACGTCTGTTTGTGTATGTGTATATGTGTGTGTGTATGTGTGTGTGTGTGTGTGTGTGTGTGTGTGTGTGTGTGTGTGTGTGTGTGTGTGTGTGTGTGTGTGTAGTATA